CACCCCCTCCCTCCCCCTGCCCCTCCAGGTGGCCATGATCCCAGCTTCTGGTGCAGTGGGCTCCTCTGAGTGTTTGATAATTTCACATAGGTGCAATCATGCAGGGTGCTCTCTCTCCCACTGGTCTACTTTCTCTCAACATTATGCCTGTGAGACTCATCAATTTTGTTGCATTTAGCTATTTGTTCATTTTCATTGCTATATAGTTTTCCATTATATTAGTTTATGCAATTAATTCATCTGTTCATTTGTTGACATAGTTAGGATATTGTGGGTAATGCTGTGATGACCAACTGCCATTCTGCAGCATACCAAAAAATATATTTTTTTGCCGATCTGACCAAAAAAAAGGTATAATTTTGATTCACTCACATCGCATGGCTATTGTTGTGTTGGCTGTTGTTGTTTTATTTGACAGCCTCAGGGAAAAGAGGTCAGTGCCCCAGCTAATAGTCAGGTGTTGCAGGTTTTAACAATTCCTGCAGCTCACGGTGGAAAATCGCAGGCCTGGGTGATTGGTAAGCTGATGGTTGTTGGTAAATCATTTCTCCTTGTTTTCCTTCCAAGTAACAAACGAACAAAAAAGCAGTTTTGAAGATTAACAGTAAATACGCCTTAAAAAGCCCCCTCCTTTTTTTAAAATATCCATCTTTAAAGCATCACACTGGGGCGTCCTCAGTGTGACTTAGTGCAGGCTCGGCGGCCTCTGCTGAAGGGCCTGCTGGCGGCTGGGGTTTCCCGCTGCCGACCGCGGGGAGGAATGCGGCGCTGACGTCACAGCCGCTCCTGGGAATGTTTTACATTCCTCTTCCTGGCAGTGGTCAGGTGGCTTCCAGCAAGAGCGAAGACAACAGCTTCCAAAGCAGGAAGAGAGGAGGGAAAGAACAGTTTATAACCCAGCCCTGTGGAGGAGGCGCTTTTATTCTGAGCCAAACTGAAATTAGAGTCAGATGTCCTGCGTTCTGATACTGCACGAATGTTAAATACATCCATTAATGGCTGTAATAGCCGAGCTGCTTGGTTTTCTACCGAACCTAAATTTTGAAACTCTAAGGATTATGGAAAACAACTTGCAGCTGACATTTTTGCTCTGAAAAGCAGCTTTCTGAGTGTAAAACGAAGGAAAGAGACACTTATGCATAGATGCTCCAGTTAACGGGCAGGCTTTTGTTAAGGTCTGTGAATCTCCTAAAAATTCACTTCTGTCACCTAAAGTCTCTGTGGCCTGCTAATATATTTTGTGCTAATCAAATAACTTCATTAATTGAGGGGAAGCTTGACTTCAATGCAAGGTTTATGCAAATTAAACTGTTTGCCACCGAAGTTCTTTTTCTCAAAACAGTTCCATTTCCATTGTTACTTCTGCATGTTACATTACTGGCCAAGCCGAAGAGTTGAAACAAAACTTAGCAGACTCTTCGTATAATGAACACGGGTTTTGCCAAAGGCATGGGACTCTGCAACAGTGTGTGCTGCAGAAAGTTGGACAGTAACTGAATCAAACTTTAAACTCAATTTGTGTTTTCCTTCTGGCCACTGAAGTACCTTTAATCAGATTTATTATATTGGCTTAGCAAATCACGATTTATATGTTTGCGCATTTTTGAATAAAATATTTTACTCCGCCCTGGCCAGTGTGGCTCAGTGGTTACAGCGAAGGGTTGGGTTTGACTCCCGGTCAAGGGCCCGTACCTGGGTTGCAGTTTGATCCCTTGCCCTGGTTGGGGCGTATGCAGGAGGCAACCAATCGCCGTGTGTCTCTCGCATCGATGTTTTTCTCTCCCTCCCTCCCTCTCCCCCTCTGGTGCACAGGACGCCGCCCCTCCAGCTGAGCCACACCGGCCACGGCTCCCTTCATCACCTTATAGGAGGAAGAGTCAGAGCTGATGTCTGCCGCCTGTCGGTATTCATTTGGTTCTCATGCAGAATTTCAGCCAGACGTTAACAAGACTCTTCTTTGCTGGTATTTAGAGAACATACAGTTAAAAAAACAGAGAGCGATACTCACATTCTGAAATATCAGTTTCATTCTGCTAATAATTCCTCATGAGCACCTTGCAACATAGGTCAAGGATTTCTTCTTCGTCTTTTAGAAAAAGACAACACTTGACAGGCAGGAAGGTTAAGTGACCCTGTGCTTGCTGGTGGAGAGCTTGCCAGGCGACCACGCCAGTGACTGGCTCAGGGGCAGGCTGAGCCTCGAGAGCGGGGCTCCGCTTCCCACCGCGGGGCTGTGTTGGGAGCAAGTTCCTGTGTTCTCCCTTTGCCGGCCTTCCGGAAAAACAGAAAGTTTAAAATGGTGTTCTACCCTTCAGCTTTACCACTGCGCCTTAAAGGAGTGCTCCACGGATTATGGACACATATTCCTTGCTCTGGTCTTCAGCCCCTCCCTGCCTTTACACGGAGCAGCACCCAGCCCTGGCCCGCACAGGCCCGCACAGAGCAGCGACTCATAGGTGCTTGTGAAGCCGACCGGTGCATACATTTGGAATATATCACCTTTATGAGACCAGAGATGTGTTTAGAAGGTGAACTTTTGTTATAGAAAGTCCCTCTCCTCCAAATCTAGCAATTGTTTCCATTCCAAATGAATGAAAAAGATCTCAATCGGTAGCGTCAGATTCAGGTGCTGTAACAAATGTAAAGTGCCCAGGACAGAACCAGGTGACCTAAAGGCATCACATCCTACTTTTCCTCTCAGCTCCCTCAGCTAACACTTAAAGTTTTTAGTAAATTGTTATTAGATTCAGGGACTTCTGATCATAGACATAAAAGATGTGATACCAGAGCCCCTTTCCTGGACCAGTCCTAAATACAGGCACCACCATGACTAACATGTCACAGAGCCCACAGCCGGCACCATCCCACAGGGCCCAGCGTGGGGCAGGAAGCAGAGGAGACAGCAGGTGACTCTAACAAAACGATCTGCTTCCCAAATTCTCACAGACTGTAGAAAACACGTTGACACCCCCCCAACTCTGGAACTTGTACCAACTTGAAAGCTGTTATCAAGGATCGAATCCCAAGCAATCTAATAGTCTCTCCTCCATCCCACCCTGCATCTAAAAATAAAGCGGTACATTACAGCGGCTTATTCCGCCTGCTGCGGCCGAGGGCTCAGCCACCCCCTCAAGCCCACGTTCACCGCGACTCGGCCCCTCCCCAGTGCTCACCCCTCAGCAGCGGAGCCAGCTCCCCAGCTCGGCGGGCAACGGGCAGTGTCCACACACTGCCCTCGCCTCGAGAGCGGCGGGTGCTCAAACTGCTGTTATGTCAAAATGAGTAAAAAGCTACTGAAAGACACCTGTTAAAAAAAGGGAATATTTTTCCTCCTCACCTGAGGATCTTTTTCCAGCTAATCAATTTATCGTTTACTTCCCACTGAAAGGGGTACACACACAGGGTGTTTAATGCGAATTGAACAAAACTTGAACTGTTGGATTTGATGCTTGTATCGTGCAAGCTCCAAGAAGCCTGGCTCAAGAATGTTTGGTTTGTTTATTTTAAAATTTAAGATCCAGAATATTTGTATCCTGGATTTTTACTTAGTCTCTTGGCTGCTTCCTACCTCTCTCAGTCTAATCTTTGGCAACCCAAGATAGTGTGTTAAAAGATGACATGAAAATTCTTAACTTGTTCCTTTAAAAAGGTGCTAATCATGTATATATATATATTTTAATGTTTTTTAATAATCTGATAGAGGAAGGGGGAGGGAGAAAGAGAAACATCGATGAGAGAGAAACTTCGTATCGATCGGCTGCTCCTGCAGGCCCCCTGTTGGGGATCGAGCCCGCAACCCGGGCCTGTGCCCTGGCCAGGAATCGAACCAGTGACCTCTGGTTCCTGGGTCGACGCTCAGCCACTGAGCCACACCGGCAGGGCAAAGCTCATCATATTTAATGTTTTGTGTAGGTATTTCATTTAATCTCTAACAGAAGCATAAGGGAGGCATTAATACCTTAAGTTTAGATAGGGACACTGAAGTCAGGGAGATTTAATAGTTTGCTAAATATCTCAGCACCAGTGGGATCACGGAGCTGTGTGACCCTGCACTTGTCTGACTCCAGGGTGATACTCTAGTTGCCTGGC